AAAATGAGGCCATTAGGGTGGCCCTTATAAAAAAGAGAAATTTGGACCCAGAGACAGACATGCAAAGAAGGAAGATGACGTGAAGACACAGGCCAAGGAATGCCTGAGGCCACCAGGAGCTACGAGAGAGGAATGGAATATTCTTCCTCACAGCCCTCAGAAGGACCAGCCCTGTAGATACCTTGAAGTCAGACTTTTGGCCTCCACAACTAAGAATATATTTCTGTTATTTTTAAGCCACCCGGTTTGTGGTTCTTTTACACTCACTCTCTTTATTGTATGGAATACTGGTTTCCCATTTATGCCATCGTTATAGATTTCTTTTAAAATAACAACATCGGCATTATTTCTTTTCTCTGACAAGCCGTATGTGTTTAGAAGGTCGCATGTTACCGATCTGTTTGCTCACCATTTCTTCCTGACTCTCACACTACCCCTCTGGGAATATCTGCCATTTTATTCAAGTCTGAGGCCCTTAAATTTTCCTTGAGAGAATCTGCGACAGCAAGCTCTCTTAGTGATGTTTGCAAGGTGAGTCAATCTGAAGACAGATACCAAGAAAATAAGAGACTAGGTGGTAAGTTTATGTGGCAAAAATTGTGACAGTGGAGTGGCAATGCCTGAAGGTGGAAAGCGCTGAGGAGTGAAGAGCTGCCACTTCTTGCATTTAGGTGGATAAGACGCTCCTTCCTGCCCCGCTGGGCTACCCAGCTCTGAGGATTATACTCATTCTAAGGGTCTCAGAAGAGCTTAGGATTTGGTGGTGACTGCAGCTTCGCAGAAAGCCAGGGGCTCTGCCTGCAAGGATGGGAGGAATTGGGGTCACTGCTGAGTGACGGCCTGGGTGGGTGAGTAGGCAGCTGGTACCTGGCTGCCCAGGCTGAGGAGGCACTGGGCTCTGCACAGAGGTGGGGGCAGGTCTGGAGCCCTGGACTGAATTGGCCCGTCTCAAACCTGCAGGAGAAAGAAAAGGAAACAGCCCGTCATGTGTGTACACACACACACACACACACACACACACACACACACACACACACACACACGAAGCTGGGACCTCCAGCGAGAGGCAATGCCTTCTGGATTTGAATGCAGCCCCTCGACACTCTCAGCTCTTTCAGGCCACCTTTCTCCTCCCTCAGGACATTCTCTCCTTCTAATAGTCAGACCCCCTGGGCAAGTCACAGCAGCAGCATGGGTGCTGAGAAGCACAGGCTCTGTGATGCTGCTTCTACCTGTGTGACCTTGCACAAATGACCTCTCCTCTCTGGGCCTCAGTCTCCTCATCTGTTAAATGGGGATAATAGTACCTACCTCATAGCATGTGGTGGAGATACAATGATACAATACATGCAAAGTGCTCAGAACAGTGCCTGGCATGTAGTAAACACTCTACATCTGGCAGATGCTGATATTATTTTATTATTATTATTGAAAGAATCTGATCTCTATCTTCACATGGACCTAGCTTTGCATTCAAGTGTTCTCTTTCATAAGCTGTGTGACTTTGGACTGCTCACTCACCCTCTCTGAATTGCAGATGCAACAACTTTACCTACCTGATAACAATGAGTTAACATTTATTTAAATGCTTACCATGTGCTAGGGACTTTACATATAAGAACTTACTTAATCTCTACACCCCATGAAGTGGGCACTTTATTATCTCCATTCTTGTAAATGGGGAAACTGAGGCCCAGAGGAGTAAAGGAGCTCATCCAATGTCTTTTGGTTGGCATGTGGCAGAGCCAGGGTTTGACTCAGGCATTTGGTCTCCGGAGTCTGCTTGAGACCATTAGGTGCTAAGCCACAAACCCACTACCCAGAAAAAGAAGGCCAGAGGGTCAACATGAGACCTAATATTCTGCCCATTAAACTTAGATCCGGTCTCATGACCTCACTACGAAAGAAATGAAGCTGTTACAAGCTCACACACAGGGGTAGGAAACACAGCTCTCCCCAATCCAGCATATTTCCTTCAAAGTCCAGGAATTCAGGGGCTCCCACCAGTGGGCACTCTTGCTGAACAAATCCACCATGAGTGAGGCCAGAGGTGCTGGGCCCCCAATGAAATGGGGGCACTGTGAGCGGCATCCTGGCCACGCTAACCCAGGCTATTGTCACCTCCAGCACAGGCCACTTGCCAAGGGAAGAAAGAACTTGAACAGATCTGTGAAACAGAAGCATCCTTACTTTGCTCAAAGCCAAGGAGGCCTTTCCCCCGCAGAGCTTTTTGCGGGATGAGGGGGAAAAAAAAAAATCACACATTGTTCTTACAGGTGACATAAAAACAAAAAAGGACATAACCAAAATTTTGGATGTCTGGAGTCAGAATTGTTTCTGAGTCCTGTTTTTTTTTTTCCCCCTCTACCATAGACAAGAATCAGCATCTGGAACGAAACACGGCACACAGTAGGTGCTCGATAAATACTGAATGAATAAATGAATAAAAACACTGTCCTCCCCATTCTTTCTGATTCTCCTCATCCAGGAAGCCTGTCTGGATCTGCCCATCTCTGTCACCTGCTGGGCTCCGGCTGGAGTCACTGGCAGCTGAGCCCTGGCCGTGGTCCCAACTCTCTGAGTCCCGGCTGGATGAGCTCATTCGAGCCTCGGAGGCCCGGCGCACAGGCGGCCCATAGTTTCCTCGCCCGGGAGCAGAGGCCAGGTCAGGGCCTGGAAGGAAAAGCACGCATTGAATGGAGAAAGGGCAATGGAGGAATGGGGGGGAAAGGACCCCTGTCCCCAAACAGAAGACGGAGGCAGCAGAACCCACCTGGCTTTTGCCCTGGGCCCCTCCGGTCATCAGTGTCACCTGAAAAGAGAAGAAAATGATGGGGAGAACTTGTTTTATGGCGTCAGAGAGCTCTCAGAATTCATTCCCAAGAACTTTTGTTTACTTAAAAGTCTCCCCAGGGGCGACCTGGTGGCACAGTTGGTGACAGCGTGTGCTCTGAACAGCAAAGTTGCCGGTTCGATTCCCACATGGGCCAGTGAGCTGTGCCCTCTGCAACTAGACTGAAGACAATGACTTGAGCTGAGCTGCCGCTGAGCTGCCGGATGGCTCAGTTGGTTAGAGTGCATGCTCTTAACAACAAGGTTGCCGGTTCGATTCCCACATGGGCCAAGGAGCTGCACCCTCTACAACTAGACTGAAGACAACTACTTGACTTGGAGCTGATGGGTCCTGGAAAAACACACTGTTCCCCAATAAAGTTTAAAAAACATATATTCCAGCAATACAACCATTTCTGGTTGGTATATTAAAACAACAACAACAACAACAACAACAAAAAGTCTCCCCTCCCAATCTCCCCCAGACGTACCTCCTTGTCTACAATTTTACATGATTTCCTTTGCATGCAGAAACACGTATGAGCATACAGAGGCTTTAAAAAGACCAAATTGAGGTGACTGGTTACTTATGCGTACTCTTCTAGATATGATTTGTTCACGTAATTTAGTTATCCCCAGGGCTCACCAAGTATGTTCCAACCTCAAGCCCTCTGCACACAATATTCTCGAAGATTCTATGAGCCCTCTCCATCACTGCCATCTGTCTCCCCAGGGATCATACTCAACGCAGACAGCCCTTCTCTGGCCATTCTATTCAAAATGGAGCCTCTGGGGTGGCCGGTTTGCTCAGGTTAGCTCATAACACCTAGGTTACCGGTTCGATCCCCACATGGGCCAAGGAGCTGCACCCTCTACAACTAGACTGAAGACAACTACTTGACTTGGAGCTGATGGGTCCTGGAAAAACACACTGTTCCCCAATAAAAATTTTTTAAAAATGGAGCCTCCCATCGCCATCAATCCCCTTTACCTGTTTCATTTCTCTTCCTGGCATTTATCACTACCTGATATTAACTGTCTTTGCATTGGCAGCTTGTTGAGCATCTGTTTCCCCTGCTAGAATTTTAGCTCCACGAAGGCAGGGATTTTGGTCTGTGGCACACACACCTTTACACCTAGGGCATAGAACAGAGCCTAGAACTCATTCAGTGTTCAGTAAATGTTTGTCAAAAGAATGCTAAAAGTGCTCATCACGGACATAATTCAAAACCTACAATGGACACTGACATCATTGCATTTTAAAAGGTGGTTAGTATAGCATGGTATGGATATGTCATAATCCGTTCAACAATTCCCCTGTGAATGAACACTTAGGTTTTCCCAGTGTTTTTGCTGCCATAACTAATGAGGCAACAAATTTATTACACATATATCTTTTTATATGTTACTTAAAAAAATTTTTTTTTAAACTTTTATTGGGTAACAGTGTGTTTTTTCTGGGACCCATCAGCTCCAAGTCAAGTCGTTGTCCTTCAATCGAGTTGCGGCGGGTGCAGCTCACCATCTCATGTGGGAATCGAACCGGCAACCTTGTTAAGAGCACACGCTGTAACCAACTGAGCCACCTGGCTGCCCCTATATGTTACTTTTATTGCTGTTAGATATATTCCCAGAGAGGGATTGCTGGGTCCAATGGTATATAGACTGCAGATTTTAATAAATTCTGCCATTATTTTTCCAAAAGGCTGGAGGTAACGTCTAGTTTATGGAGTACCTGTTTCCCCACACAGCCACCAGCACTGGATGTTAGTACCGACGAGTGTTTTAGGTGTCACCATGCAATGCAGGTTATGTTACTATTACTGGTTTCTAGGGAGGCGAACGGGTGTAACATCCACCATATTTTCAGAGTTTATCTGTTTTGTCCAGAGTTTATTGATAAGCTAATCCATACCATTTATGCATGTCTGTGTACAGGTGGTTAACATTATATATTATCAGTCAACATTGACTAAGTGTGGCACTCTGTTAGGCACTTTCCATGTAGTATCTCATTTAATCCTCAAAATAACCCAATGAGTTCTTAACTCCATTGTATAGATGAGATGAGGAAAGGGTATCAGGGCAATTAGGCCACTTACTCAAGATCACACAGCTAGTAAGTGGCAGAGCTGGGATTCAAATTTACATGTTCCTGGCTTCAGATGTCCAAGATCGCGACAGTTATGCTACCCAGTGTTCTCAGCCTAGAAGGAGTGATGCTTAACCAGGAAGAAGGAAGCCCTCCTGGTATAAACTAGGCGCCCCTTGGGGATGCAGTGCATATTATTGACAATCTGGCAACTCCCTGCAAAGAATAGAAATCGCTCATGCCTTGTCAGGAAGAAAATTCATCGATGCCTTTTGAGTGTCGGGCATTGCACTGGGTATCGTGAGACGTTATCTTATAGGAGACATAGTTGGGCATGTCAGTGTTTCAGACCTTTAACTATATAACCTTCCTTCCAGAAGCCCTGCCTGCACTCAACCCCAGAACTGTCATCCAGACCAGATCTTATCACTGAGTGGCGACTGTAATTATTGCAAGGGCTTTATCTCGTCAGTCCTAGAGGCCTCATTCAATTAAAATGTGGTTCTATTGTGGTTGCTTTTGTTTCCTGTTGCTGTTTTGCCTCTCCCTTTTCATCATTTTGATAATTAATAATACTTGGATAATAGTGAGAATATCCATAGTAGTGATCATTGTCTTTTACTCATTTCCTTTCTATTCATCTTTCACTTTTAATTAGTCCAATTTCAGACTTGAGGATGGTTGATAGAAGACGTATCAGGGGTCAGGAAGGCCTTCTCAGCAAGCCCCAAATCCCCGTGGGCTCCAGTGTACGTTTCAGTTGTGCGAGTCTCTCTCAGTTCCCAAAGTTAATTTTCACCTCTGGTGTACCTCAAATACTCCATCAAGTATGACAACAAAGCATTTTGGAAGCCTGGCATTGTTGAAGAACTGGGGAAGGGGAACAGTGTTGGGGAATTGGGGAAGGGGGACAGCCAAGTTGTTGTCCTTCAGTCCTAGTTGTGGAGGGTGCAGCTAGCTCAGCTGAAAGTCCAGTTGCCATCCGGCTGCCTGTCAGCAGCTCGCAGCTGCTTAGCTCAAGGTGCCGTGTTCAATCTTAGTTGCGGGTGGGCATAGCCCACCATCCCATGCAGGAGTCGAACTGGGAACCTTGTTGTTAGGAGCACGTGCTTTCACCAGCTGAGCCGTCCTACCACCTGTTGGCAGCTCTGCTGCAGCTCAGGCACAGCTCACTGGCCCATGTGGGAATCGAACCGGCGACCCTGTTGCTCAGCGGTCGTGCTCTTAATCAACTGAGCCACTCGGCCGGCCTCATGTGCTATTACCTAAATAAGGGCTCACGGTGAGCTGTGAAGGGGACATAGGAGTCCTAGACCCAAATCCAGAGGCTGGCTGTCCACCAACTGAATAGAAACACATCCATCATGTCGGGGGCATTCTTAGGTAGACCAGTTAGCTAAGATCTGTTCTTGGTTCTGAAAGAAGTCATTTTTGTCTTACCGTGTGTTGGAGCCCGGACAGCGTGCTTGGGCTCAGCGGTGGGCTGCTCAGGGGCAGCGGGCTCGCTGACAGGCTGCTGGGGCTTGGTCTTCTTGATGGGCATAGGCTGTGGGAGGACCTGTTTGGGGAAACCCTTGAAGAACCACGCTCCAGAACGCTTCCACACCTGGAGGAGCAGAGGCGGAGATTGAAGACATGGCAGCCGAGTGCTAATGTTCCTGCCTTCACGAGTGCCAATTCTTAACTTCGCTCCCTTTCCTCAGCTGACACTGACACAATAACCGGCACACTTTTCTTACCAGCATGCAGCCTTTCATGATTTCTATTTAATTCACACAAGATCTCTGAACACTCGATAGAGAGAGGCCTGAGTAGACCCATTTTCTTGATGGAGACGGTTGGATATCAGAAGGGTTATAAACTGGTAGAAGGTTACATAGCCAGGGAGTGCAAGGACAAAGACTGGACACCAAATCTTCTACCTCTTAAGTGTGGTGAGTTCCGAGCTACTAGGAAAAGTCACAGAACTAGGAGCGGGGAAACCAATTCATTCAAAGAGCCAGAGACTGTTCCACCAGTGTTCACAGGTGAGCTGGTTCCTTTTGGACCAACCCCTTAAGACACACACCTGACCAAGTTTCCCAGCCCCCAACTGCCACCCCGTTTCCCTGATTCTAGAGAGGAAGGGAAAATTCGATAAAAACGGGGTGCTCCAGAAGCCAGGTGGGGCCAGTCTACTCACCTCCCTCTGCTCGATGCAGATTTTGCAAAGCCACATGGGATGTGGGCGGTTGTTGGAGGTCTCCACCCCGCACTTGGTGCAGACATTCTGGGGACAAAACCTAGTTCAGTGCACCCTCGGACAGGCCAGGCTCGGAGCTGCTAGTGACTGGGGGGGAAGTGGCTGGGAAGGGAGGCAGCAGAACCCCATTCTCTCTTGGTGAATGTAAAAAGCTAGAGCTCTCTTTTGCTCACCTCCTTTCCATGACCAAGGCCAGTCAAATTAAAGTTCTGATTTGAGTCTTCATTTCCAACAACAAGAACTGGAGTCATTCCCAAGCACTGGCTGAAGGAATACTCCGAGAGTCCCTGTGGGGCCCGAGTTTAAGCATCCGTACAGGTGAGATCAGTGCTGCGATTTTTTTAAGAGGAAAGGCCATATATCTGTTTGGTTTATTAATTTATTTCTTCTTTCTTCCCAAATGAATGTGAGACCTAGACCACGGCTGCAGGCTCACCTCCTCCAGCAGAAGGAAGTTACCTGAGTAAACGCCATGTGTGATGGGGCATTCTAATTTGCTCTGTTTCTTGGCCATTGAGACAAATAGGAAAACCTAATCAATCACCCAAGTCTCACTATTGGTGGATGGCAGCAGATAAGTTTTGGGGAACACATCAACGTTCCTCAATATTCCATCTATATGCTCAACGGGACCCCAAGCAGGAGATGTCAGGTGACACTGCGGATGTCTCCAGCTGGGTTGTTCCCCTGACTCTCTTTCCTGGGAATCAGGCAAACCCAAGGTCCATTTTCTCTGTGTCCTGGAATTGTCAATTGCAGGCAGCTGAGGAGAGGGTGCAGGGTAGAGGGGCACAGGGAGACTCCCCTTCAAGGATGAAGGCTCTCGAAGCACAGTGGTCCTAACTTGGCTGGAGAGGGGCTTTCTAGGTCACTTGTACTGTAACCCAGGGTAAGAGAACGTTGGGTTAGCCTTCCACGTACATTCACGTGTAGACAAGTGCCCATCATGCTCTCCAGCCTGACACATAACTAAGTCAAAACCAGAATTCTTGCATGTTCAACCATAGCTCCCAAGTTCATCCTGGATGGAGCTGGGCTCCAAGGGGACAGAGGGTCACAGCGATTTCCACGGGAAAAGCCAGGATCAGGGTTCCCTCGGGAGATAGCTGGGCATGAGAGCAGCTCAGAAGGAATCATATTCTGGCAACTACCCTGTAGAATCCAAGCCCCATCCCCAAGACCCAGGGCTCCCCAAGGCTCGAGCCCAGGCCTAGCCCCTCTGCATGTGATGAGCAGGGACACAAGGACACAGGGAAGAGGGCGATGGTACCTTCTTACAGTCCTCACACACCACGCAGGCAGAGCCTAGCATCCCCAGCTGTTCTCCACACAGTATGCAGCGGTTCACTCCATCCCCAGCCACGTTCTTCCTCATATTCTCCAGACGGTCCACCAGGCGCCTGGAAGCAGAGACAGAGTACTGAGGACCTGATAGGACCAGGGACCACCTGCATCTCCTACTGTATCAGGCTGGGGTCTTAACCTTTTATATGAGTCATGGACTCTCAGGTATCTGATGATGGCTATCGGACCCTCCCAAGAAACAGGCATGCACATGACATCTGACCCATTTTAAGAACATCACAGAACCTTCCCCATATCCCCCAAAGCCCATCTATTCTATTGACTTCAGATGAATAATCTTATCTAGTCCTTTCTTATCTCACTGTCACCTCTTCTAGGAAACTGACTTCCGAGCTCCATATCTGTTTGTCTAATTGTCTACATGACGACTTCACTTGGATGTCTTCGCAGGCATCTCAAACTTGGGCTTTCAGCTGAATTGGTCACCTGGGCTGCTCTCCACCCCCATCCCAACACACATTTCCCCGTTTTCAGAAAACGGCACCACCATCCGTGACCTTGCTCAAACCAGAATCCTGGGGGAATCTTCCTTGATCCCTCTTCCCTTGATATTCAATGGCCCAACCAAGTCCTATCGTGTCTATTTCCCTAACATTTCTGGAACCCACCCATTTCTCTCCATCTTCACCACAACCAAGCCACTTTCATCTCACCCGGATGACTGTAGTAACCTTCTAATAGTCTGCCTTCTTTCATGCATGGCCGTCTACAATCTGTTCTCCCCACCGCAGCCATGGTGATAGTCCTATAATATAAATCTCATCATGTCACTCCCACTCCACATTAAAACCTTTAGTTGGTTCCCATTCCATGAGGTTTCCATGGCCCTACATGGTCTGGCCCCAGGTGAAACCTTAAACCTCTCCTCCCTCTTGGTCTGGCTTTCAATGCTCGAGTTCAGTGGTTCTCCAAATGTGATGACCAGATCCTCCGCAGTAGTGTCACGTGGGAACTTGTTAGAAATGCAAATTCTTGGGCCTCACCCCAGACCAGCTGAATCAGAGACTCTGTAGGTTGGGCCCAGCAATCTGTTTTACCAAGCCCTCTAGAGGACGCTGACGTATGCTCAAGTTTCAGAACCACTGCTATGGTTACACTGGTCTTCTCTGAGTTCCAGTTCTCCTATCTGCCTCAGTATGTTTGCACATTCTGTTCCTTGTGCCTGGAATACAGCTTCCCCGCCACACACATACATTTAATCTCTCTCTCTCTCTCTCTCTCTCTCTCTCTCTCTCACACACACACACACACACACACACACACACACACTTATACTTTTCTTACCTAGATTCCCCTTATCTTTCAGATTCCAGTTGAAATATCTCTTCCTCTTAAAAGCCTTCTCTGTCCACCATTTTATTTACTCTAATAACAACCTTGTATTTCTTCAAAGCACTTGACATATATGTAAGGAGTTATGAGATGATCTGCATTGTGAGTTCACCTCTGGCTGCCCCTCGGGACTACGAGCTCCCCTGGGCCAGAGACCTTGCCTGTCCTGTTCCCTGCTGTCCCCAGGGCCAGCACAGTGAGTGCCTCGTCCACAGTGAATGTTCATACACGATGGCTGAATCATCGAATGGATGAATGAGGGCAGCCCACTTCCGAAATCTCTATCCAGCCAAAGCAAGCTGAATTGAGAGTCAAGCGATATACAATGACAGCTTATACTTACATAGTGCTTAGTAGATGCCTGGCATGGTATGAGGTGCTTTGCCACCCAACCCTGGGAGGAGGTACCACTGCTATGCCCTTTTACAGGTGAGGAGGAAAGCAAGGCATAGGGAAGTTAAATGACTTGCCCAAGGTCACACAGCTAGGAAGTGGCAGAGCCCCTACTAGAACCTGAGTTTCATGTGCATGACACTAGTGCTTCTCACACTTAACGTGCACACAGATTCCGTGGACATTTTTGTTTAAATGCAGATTCTGAAATACCAGGTCTGGATGGGGCCTGAGGTGCTGCATTTGTAGAAAGCTCCCAAGTGACCCCACACGACACTACCGGTCCCTGGCTTACCTTGTATAGCAAGGCTGCATGACAGCTACACCTGTGGGGCATCCTGTTTCCATCTCAGGTGGGTTTCTCAGACACTTCCCACCAGTTTGAAGTCATCTCCTTGCTCTTTTCCTCAAACAAGACCTTATTGTTCCCCTTCTCGGTATAGCCAGGGGACCCAGATGGAGCCGGACCCGGGTCCCAGCTGTGGACACGGCGGGTGTGAGAACCGCTGGGGTGGAACTTGGGCAGCACAGGCTCCAGGAGGTCCCTACCCGCCGCCACCTGATGCCAACTCTCCCCACAGGCCCTCCTCACACCTGCCACCCCCTCAAAGTGCTCTGATTCGCAAGGTTATAAATAGCAGCTTTTCCCTTTGTGCTCCATTCAACAGAGAGCTGCTGTGCCCGAGGCAGAGCCAGAAGCCGCCTGTAGGCTCCGGAGCCTCTGCTGTGACCTAGATCGGAGAGAACTGCTTCGGGAGCTGCCGAGGCAGCAGGCTGTGCACAGCCCACGGCAGCCGGCTCTTCTCTTCCTCCTCTCATCACCCCCTCCCGTGTCTTCCCTAGAAATTGTTTTTACAGGGCGATGGGAGGCAGCAATAACCAGAAGCGAGCCCCCAGTCCGTGGTCTCAGAACACCCAGAATAACCATAGCCGGTGATTACTGAGCACTTACTATGTGCCAGGCACAGAGACAAGCACTCCACCTGGATTTCACTCAAGAATCCTCCCAGCAGCCCTCTCAGTTAAGGACTATTCTTGTCCCCATTTTCCACATGTGAAAACTGAGGCACAGAGAGGTTAAGTGATGTCCCCAAGTCACACAGGAAGGGGTGGAGAAAGCTGGGACTCAAGCCCAGGCAGCAGGCTGGCTCCGAGTCCCTGTCCTTAGCTGCTACACCACACTGCCACTGTGTACCAAGCAGAGCTCTGGGGGCAGGGGGGGGTTTCCTGAGCAGTCCGTGCTCCACGCTGGTTAATCCCCCTGCCTGCCCACTCCAAGGGACCCTCAGTCATTGGTAAGTGCCACGTTGCACACACGCAGTCATCTGGTTCTGTCACATCTGCCTCTCACTTCCCTGAGGTTGGGACAAGACACCCAACAGCTATCCCATCACCTTGTTTCTCTAAAGCACCCTCAACAGAGGGTCAAGAAATCTGGATTGTAACTATAGATTTTGCCTCTCTGGGCTTCAGTTTCCTCATCTGTAAAACAGAAGGTGTTGGGCTAAACCAGTGGTTGTCAAACTGTGCTCTGTGGCACCCCAGGGGTTCCTTAGAGCCAGTTTCGGGGCCGTCCACTGTCGTGGTGTGGTGGGAGTCATTCGGAGGGGCCAGCCAACCCCATTTCACCCACAGCACGTCTGCATTTATCTCTTTCGTTTTGTTTGGGCTGTTGAAGCAGATATTCTTTGGAAAGGTGGTTCCATGGTTTAAAGAAGCAGGTTGAAGTCGTCTGGAGCAGATCCACTTCAGGAGGCCTTGCAACGCCGTAGAACTATATAATATGACCAGACAACGGGGTGAGCTAATGGAGGCAGGGGATGCTAACGGCGACATTTTCCTGTGCACACCCAGGCTCTCACCCATCTTCTCCTTCACTCACTGCCTTTGACAGGAAATGGTTAGAGTTGGCTCTTCTTGTTTTCCCCATGGGGGTCCCAAAGCACAGAGAGGGTGAGATGCTTGCCTGGGGTCACTCAGCCAAGGTTAGAGTCTAGTTCTCTGTGTCAGTCCATCATCTTTCTTTCCATGAAGTCCCCCCTGGCCTCCTGCCTCAAGTCAAGCTTTGCCAACAGAGCTCAGAAAGAAAGCATGGGACGGACGACCCAATTCCAAACAGCGGTACGCTTTGTTCAGGAAACTGAGAAGGCTTTCTTGGGAAAGAAAGGGCTAGGGATTCCCCACCACTTGTAAGCCTGCCTTCTGGCCTTTCTTCCAAAATGCCTATTTCCTCCACCACTTCATCCTAAACGCGGCAAGGCCCATTAACACGGTTGTACTGGGCGTGTCTCATTAGCGTCCATCAGTGGCAGCGAATGGAACAGAAAAACAACGGACTCAAGGTCATTATTCAGATGTCTCAGCTCAGGGTCCCTCGTTAATTGTGAATTCAGTCCAGGCCAATAAAGAGAGAAGATGTGGGCTGGGGATGGACACACCGTCCGTGTCTGCTTGACGATCGGGGTGAGCGGGGGTTTCCTGCAGCCCGTCCATTTGGACGCCCTCTCTGTAGCCCCCAATGCGAGGGCCTCGACATGGAGGGCCCCGACAGCCAGAGGGTATAAAGCTGGAAATCAAACTTTGCAAGAAACTAAGTCAAAATTAAGTCATGGAAGCCCATGGGCCATGAGCGGGTCTTTATCCTGGCAATAAAACACTTTATCTTCTTCAGCCCAAAAGGAATGTTTGTTGTTACCAGTCTTGGCAGGAGATCACGATATGCATAACGGAAGATGCCCGCAGCCCTCACGACATGTCAGCAAGCATAAAAAGAATGCCCACGCACAGGGCCCCCTCTCTAAACCTTCTCAGCCATGGATCTGGTTACGGCAGACACCAGGATCTCATCAGGCAGCCCTGTTGAGAGCCCAGAATTTAGGGCGCCACTGGGTCACCTGGGGAGAGTGCTCAACATTCAGACAGTGATCCTATGGGGCCGGGGTGGAGCCTGGGGATGTGTATGTGAAGTGGCTTCCTTTTCTGACCCTGATGCTGGTGATGCTCTGGCCACACTTGGAGAAATGTGGCAGTAAGAAAGGAAGTTGTGGGACAAATCACAGGGCAATAAGGCTCTCCTTATTATTAAGTGGTTTTAAAAAAACAAAACAAAACAAAACCCAAAACCCAGGATGTAGAATTGTGATCAGGGTGTGAGTTTGGGTTTGGAAGCTGCTCATCCGAATACCTTTCACGGTGTGCACTGAACACATAAAAACCAAAATGATAAACTAGGAGACACACCACAAGATGCACAGTGATCACCGTCGCATGGTGGGATTATAAATAACTCTTATTTCCTTCTCGAATGCCT